CAAGCATTTGCACTAGATGAGCAAAGAAGATAGCAACAGCAGCACATGCTCAGAGAGCAATTCTTCAGAGAAGCAATAGACAAGGCTGAAGTAGAAGATGATTGGACTCTCCACATGGAAGTGAAGGGGACCTTTAATCATTTTAAATTGGTTATGGTTGCACCAGCCAGAAACAATGATGGAAGCACTGAAAGGAAAAGCACAAGCAAAACAGGGATAATCTGAAGCTTACTGTAAGGTAACTCCAGGATGGGAGCATATGAGCTAAATGCAGGGTACATAACAAACTAGCAAGGACACCATTTGTTAATGTACCATAGGACATGTACTCATTAGTGGGGTAAAGTTATACCAAGCCTTAAGCCTGATAAAGAGGATACACTCCAGATAGAGAGAAGACCAAAACATGAGTATAAGTCGGAGAACATCTTTGGGGAGATGAGGAAGCTCTCAGCCCAGTACAGAATGGAACTGAAATAACCCAAATGCCCCACAATTCATGCATCTAGGATAGTAGCCCTTTCCCAGAGGTTAAAGGAGGAGCTTGATAGAGTTCTTGTTTGATAAATAGTAAAACACGTAAACGCGCTAATAGAATGAGTTCGTTTTATAGTCGAAAGATAAGAGGCCTCTGCTCATGAATAGTCTCAAAAGAACTAAATAAATATGTCAAAAGCAGAGAAGCTCTGGGAAAGAAAGCTGATGTCAAATATTTTTCTATGCTTGATGCACCAGCAGGGTGCTGGCAGGCGCCCCTAGAAAAACACACGTGTCTGTGTTTGTGCACATTTGACACCTCCTTTGGGGGAAACTGTTGGGTTAGGGTTAGCACTTAGGGTGTTTCACAGGACAACACAGCTAAGTTTTGATGGTGAAAAGGGTACTCCGGTTTATATACAAAGACATTTATTCTGGGCAAAATGATAGAAGAGCATGACCAAAACCAAACAGCTTTGGAAAGAGCCACAGCAAGGGTGAGGCTATCATGAACATGCCGGTTGCAGGGCACACAACGAATTCTTATCCCCCGTGGAATGGTGAAGAATGCGAGAACATTTTTAATAGACACGGCTGCTTAAACTAGCAGCTTGAGAGTGCTCCTGTGCAAATCCCACCCCAAATAAAGGACGCAAGAGATGGAATTAATTAAAGAGGCCTGGCACTGAGGGATAGTAAACAGTGACCAAAGTGGTTTCTGGATTCTTTCTTGGAAGGCAGCGTATATTTGCACCTTACAGACTAATGAAAGTGCGTATGTGTGTGTGTAGCACAATCACTTCATTAGATCTAATGAAGTAAGCTTCAGCTCAGAAAGCTTGTGATAGCTACCTACCTACCTACCTACCTACTTCAGTGACTTTATAAGGTGCTTACTATGCCCCTTTCTTCCTTGGAAGACAGTGTACAGTGGACTCCATGTTAAGTGCAGAGCCTCAGTATTCAAAAAAGCCTATGCACTTTCCCAGACTTAATGCAAGCAGGCGTAGTTAACCATTGCCAATCACAGAGCAGAACAATTGTCATTCACAATGCAGAAAGACTCAGTTAATCAAAATGCTGCTTGCAAGCTGGTAGCAGCTATTTAAACTACTTGTCAGGGTTATATAGCAATGTCAGCTCCCTGGCTTTAGCCTTGAAATTGCTGGTGGATAATCAGTGGCATGGCTGCTTCCCCGTTGCACCATTTATAATGCAGTACATTGTGAAGTAGGAAGTGGGGCTGAAAAATGCTAGGCCCTTTAGTGGATTATACAGTTAACCCGTGTTTGCTATAATTCAGGGCCTACTTAATTTGCAGTTTTGTGGATTTCACAGAAACTATGAAATCCAAGTTTGTCCACAAAATCCAGGAAATCCCCAACAAAAAAACTTAATAAAAATAAAATGTTGGCTCCCCAATGGGAGCCAGTGGTCCTTGCTGCCAGGAGAGGAAGGCACAGGCTGGTGACAAAATAGCAGCTGCCCCCTTGTCCTCCTCCCACTATCGGGGCCTCTACCAATCAGCACCAAGGGGTGGAGCTGCCACAAAAATCCCTGCAAAATCAGCTCTGTGTGCTCGAAGCAGGCCATGAAAAACTCTTTGTCTTGCCATGATTTAAAAGTAGGTCACCAGCTATAACGTATGTGATGGGCATAACACTGGTACCCATATTGTCTTGTGTAGTTAAGCAAGTTATGAGCTTATCCAATACAGGCTAAGTCTCCTTTTACTTTATGCCGGTATATGGCATGTACACAGCAGAGTAACTGCATTTCTCAGCATACCTGCACAGTTTGCAATGCAGCTTTCCCTGTGTGGGCCTACTGAGCATGCTCAGTAGACCTGCATTCTAGCCAAGCATCTGCACAGCAAAACACAATTGCCTAGGAATATGTGTCAGGCCAGGTACGTCCCAAAATTGTACTTGAAGATGCTGTACACCTAGCAAGATGCTGGCATAGGGTGGCTTTCCTGCTGTTTTGCCCAATAGCTAATGGTTAAGGCCGTTCATCAGTGTGGGCACACCTAAATTCTGGGCCCCCCTCACATATACAGATATTGGACTATGTAAAAGTACCAGAAACTGCCCTTGGGTGCATAAAGCAAAGCAAGATTTAGCCCTACATGTAAAAGTGGAATTGACTGTATTGGCACAGTATTTTTATAATTGTATAGTCAAAACTATAGACCAACAGCTCATGCCTCATGGGTCCTAATAAAAACTGAACAGTAGGCATGTCTCCATATTCATTAAAATACAGTAATTACTGTGCATTTAGTTTAGTACTTGCTTAATGAAGTAATAACTAAATGCGCAGTAACTACAGTTACTGCGCAGTCGTGTTGACACATGGGTTTTTTTAGTGAAGCTTACTCCGCAGTAGTCTAATACTACTGTGCAGTAGCATATTATTAACGTGGTTTTTGTCCGCCATGCTACTGCACAGTGTTATTAAGCTACTGCACATTAAGCCTCTCGTGTAGATGCACCCAGTATGCTCAAAAAGAGAAGGCCCAAGTTGGTGGGTGTAAAAATGTCATGTCTTTGGACAGCATATCTGCCTAGCTCCTGTGACCAGTTTAAGAGATCAGTATTTAAAGGGATTTTTTTCAAAGCAGCAGTAGGGTGATTCTTAAAAGGATACAGGAAATACATTAGAAGAGGATACACAAAGCTCCATTTGGGAATGGAAAATGTAAAAGATGGGGCAAAGATGTTTTAAGCTTCAGATGAACATTGTGGAAACTGCTAAAGCTTGTCACATATGCCAAAAGTGCAGGCCAAGTCAAACAAAAAAGCCCATGCAGGAAAAATTGGTCCCCTTGGAGCAAAGTAAGCACAGATTTGTTTTACAGTGGCTGGCAAGAAAAAAATCTATGTGCATACTGTACGTGATCATTGCTCCTTCGCAGAAGTAACCTTACTCAGTGATTCTACAGCAAAGCAGGTGATTGTGCCTATTACATCTATTTTGGTACATTAAAGCTGACATAGGAATGTCTGGCAATGGGCTGCAGATTGGTGGGCATGAGTCAATTGGTGTTCACGGAAGTACTGGTTTACACATGAAACTTCTAGTCCCCATTATCCAATGGGCTCGATGAAAATAAATATCTTCCAAAGACTGTAACAGGTATTTAGTGCTGTTAAATTACAGAGTAGCACTAATGAAACATGGGTTGTCACTTGCAGTCATTTTTTTTTCAATAGAACAATGTTTGCACTGTTAGAAACTGATATTAAAGTCTCCAATGCTCTATCTAGACAGACAGACAATGATTAACAACAGGCACAAGTAGTAGTGCCACAAAGGGAAGCTTTATGAGCATCCTGAAATTGTCACTCCAGATGGATATATATTATAGAAAACACTGAAAATATCCTCTTCAAATCTCCAGATGGGGGGTGGGTCAAGATACGGAGTTAGCCAATTTGTCCAAAAAGAGTCTCAGATAGGCAAGACCTGCATTAGGCTAAGACAGCTGAACTGCAGAATATGGCACATGCAGAACTAATGAACTTACTAATATTTCATCTTGATAAAATACATCAAAATTAACTATTTTGGTAGGATGGTACTTCCAAGCTTCACAGCTCTCCATTTGCTGACAAATTCCAATATTTGGTTTCCCATATTAATTTGGGATGAAAACATTTCTAAACACTGGAATGTCCTGTGGGATGAAATTCTGATTTGACAACTAGTCCTAGTCTGTACCAGAATGCTCAAGGATACTGTCTGGTTTTTATTTCCTTTCCTTTCGTTCTGTGCCCAACGTGACCATTGTATCCTTCTTTCATATGCATTTCTTTGTCACAGCAGCTTACAAACAAGGAAACAAAACCTAAACATCTGGACTGGTTGAACCCAACAAGAATTCAGGACATCCAAATTCAAACTCCACCAGTTTGCATGGCCAGTCCCCAAGTATTGCAAGCCTGTCTGAAATGCATCTGTTTCTTTAGCAAGCTATGTTGAGCATTATGGTCCAGCAAAGGACAGTCTTTAAATTGTCCTGCCTCCTATGTCAACAGGTCAACCTGCTCACATTAAGTAAAGAGAGAAGGTCTAAATTGCACAATGGCCTATTTCTCACATATAAGTCTTATTCAAGACTCTCAGCATCCACACTAATTCAGACTTACAGTAGTGCTGGCTTTTTTTCCTGTACAACCTACATGGTGTATTTTTTTCTGACTAAAAGTAGGAAAACTCTTTAGCTGGATTACTATTTTCTATTTTGGAGTATTTCACTTTTAAAACTCCACTAAAGAAAAACACCAATGACCTGACAGAATAACTAATCTCTGATAAATATTCAGGCTTCTTCTGCCTTTTGGAGCTCTCAGCAGACCAGTCGGAGCCTGGTGTGGAATTGAAAAGAGGATCCGGGACTCCAACCTTTGGACCTTTTGCAATTTGCTCTGAACTTTCTAAACCGTTTGGCTCAGCTGCTGCCATGGACTATATAAATGCAGGTCCAAGTCGTGAGGCTCATTCTCTTCCTGAAGCTGTGGTGGGGAGGAGGTGAAGGGGGAGGGAAGAGGAGACACAGCGAGGGCTGCAAGAGTGGCCGGTGCTCGCCATGGGCCCTCTGCAGCTCTGGCTGCTGCTGCTTCTGCTGAGCAGCGATGTTCTCGCTGGTAAGTAGCACCTTATTTTATACAAGGGCTTTTCCTGCGACCCCCGCTCAATGAAACTGCAGGGAGGTAAAAATCAAGAGTGTCACAAACCATTTCCTCTACTTGAGAAAGATGCAATTCTTTGTCATGGTAGGGTTGTCCCCCTAAGAGTGGGACCTGCAGTAATTCCACAGAAATATTGGAAGTGGCACCTGGTTTCATTGGTTTCTTTTTATTTGACATATTAAGCATGGCTCTGCTAGCTTGCTTGTGCCTCGTTGTTCTTTAGTGTGGTCGCTGTTGCTTATTATGGAGAATCAGTAAGGTTATTGCTAATTCATTTTACTGTAACAGTGATGGGAGGGGAGCAATAAAACGTGATGTCTTTGGAAGGAAACACGGCATTTTGACATAGGACGTGTGTTAAAGGGTGTGGTAATTCTGATCTGTATATTTTGTCATGCTGTGTCCTTGGGAACAAACTCCTTCGTTCCCTGGCGGTGACTATTTAGGTTGTTCAGTGTTGCTGTTGTTTGTAAAGAGCAGTGAAGGAAAGGGGCTGACTACTGCACTGCTGAAGTGAATGAGGTTTGGAAAATCAGGTGTTATGCAAGGCAGTACCATCAACTTCATCCAAAATGTACCTTTCTTGACTCCTCTAGTGTCATGTGAAGTCTGGATCTGATCCTATATCTTGTTGCTAAAATTATTATATTCCATAAAATACATTTTTTTATGGAAAAAGACAGGTCTCTCTCAAAATGCATTGAAACAAAGCACAAAACTCCCATTAATTTCAGTGAGCTTTGGATCGTTGTCCATGCCCACGGCAGCATGCCTTTTCAATATTCAGACTCATCGTAAGCACTGGCACAGCCTTGTGGAATCTAAATAATGCTTCAATTCAACATTTTCAACAGATGTATTTACATTTGTCATTACATCAGGTGAATTACATATTGATCTGCTTTTTGCCAGTCCATGAAATTTGAGGTTTCTCCCTGCTTGTGGGCAAAGAAATTCCCTGTAGTGAAGCTGTCGTTATTTTTACAAAGGCAGTTAGACCACAGTACAGCCATAGAGCCAATCTGCAATACTTCCACAATTAAAAACAAATCACAATGTTCCACGTAAATAATAAATAATAATAAATGAGCACATTGGTGCTTTCTATCTCACTCTGTCATCCAGGGACTTTATGTAGCACATACTTAATATAGCACAGAGCTTTGTATACATTTGCACTGTTAACCTGACTTTACTATTTAGTTTAGTGATTCTACAATTGGGCCCTAGATGGCTAACTCACAAAGTATAGGGCCCGAAGTGGCGTACCTTTGAGCAGCATCACAAGTGCTTAATACTAGTTTTAGGTGTTAATGTGTGGAAAGTCCAGGTGTTAAGAGCTCCAGGAGTTGCCCAAAATAATCATGTAACCAGGCCCTCGGTGCTTGACTACGCTGTTGGTATTAATCAGTTTTATCGCTTACAACAGTGTGTGCAAAAAAAAAAAAAGCAATTTAATTTGTTAGTACAAGTTAGCAAGGTCCTACTTGTCTGCGTTTCTCCCCCTAAAACACGATGTTGTGTTTATATCGGTATATCTATATTATATTAGTTTTACTATTTTTGCCTAAATTTAGTTATATTAGGGTTGTATGTTGTTTCCCGGAGTGTGAATCCTTAATAAACTGAACTGAACTATTATGTTAGAAAAAAAATTGCATACATTGAAGTTTTAATTCTTACTGTGCTCCTTTACAGACGAAGAGGGGCCTGAGAACGGAAGTCCCAGCTGCTCAAGTATGAGTTTTTTTTATATTCACTTTGCTCTGATAACATGCTAACTCACGGTATTTCCCAGAGGTGGGGTTCTATTCTTCCATAAATCCCTACGCCAGATACAGTAAATGTGATGGACTATATCCTGGCGTTCTTAGGCAAAACTCCCATAGACTTCAGGAACTTGAAAGGATGAGGGAATTGGCCCTATAAATTTTAAAACGTCATCAGATTGAAAAACTGTGATTGTGGTTTTGAGCATAAAACAGCTTTCCATAAATACACTCCACATTTCTTTGCTGTGTTGGTTTTCCAACACATTCCCAGGAGTGAATCTCTTCTTTTGGAGACCCTGTTTCCCTAACATTGAAAATTTAACACAGAAATTGTGTACCTTTCACTGATAATCTCACTCCTGATTCAGCCGTTCGAGCTACACCCAGGTATTTGCACTTGGCTATCTAACTATCCGTCAAGTCCGTCAACAACTCTATCAGCAAGGACAATAATTTATTAAAACAAGTCAAGAATAAGGAAATGCTGACTTTATGTGCAACCTTTGTCATGAACCCTGATTTGGCCCTGACTTCTTGCTGGATAAATAATGTTCTCCAGGAGGGTCAAAGTATCTGATGAGTTGGTGTTGTCCCCAGTGATCTTTACTTTCCCTTATTTGACACTAGCACCATCTACAGGTGATCAGGATTAATTCATCTGAATCCTTTGTATCTGATATTCCCTACATGTACTTAGTTATACTAAGTAGCTGAGAGAGAATTTTTAGATTGTTCTCGTAATTCAGGATCCTGGTTTCAGGGTTATGTCCTTTTTTGGTGCTAATTTTTGGCAACATAACTCACAGACAGATTAGTTTTGGGGGGGGGGGGTTGTTTTGAGTTGAATGTGGTTCTCACTGACAGTGAAACAAGTCCCATAAAACATATAGGCTTTTATTAAAACAGTGTCATTAGTCATCTGCATCAAATATTCATAAGTCTTTATCATATGTTAATGGCAATTAACAGAAGCCAAAGAACCAACAATTGCTGTATTAAAACTTTAGCTTCTGTTCGAACCATAGAGTAGGTCTCAGAAAGACATTCAAGTTTTATTTAAAAATATCATGTCCCTTTCTAACGATTTACTTGAAGTCTTTATGCCCAAAACTTAAAAAGCAGTCAACAGTGGGAATATCTTAACATTTTTTTTCTATTGTGGGAATTGCTTTTGATTTTCATAATGCTACCTGGATATGTATATCTAAATGGTCTGAACAAGTCGTGAAAATGTACTTGCTTTCCTAATTGCAGAAGAGGCAACCAGGTTTAAGCACCTCAGAAAATACATTTACACCTATGAAGCAGAAACCGCAAGTGGAGTGTCCGGAACCGCAGATTCACGAAGTGGCTCCAAAATGAACTGCAAGGTAGAGAAAGGGGAACAAGGAAAACATTATAATCTGGGGACAATACTTGGCAATGTGGAAAAGTATTTCCCAACCAATCAATTATACCTGAATCAAAATGTCATCAGCAGAAATACTTTAATAAATGAAATATTAACAGAAATCAATATTTTGCATGAAACATAGATGCTTTTAGAAGACAACAGGTTGTTAAATCAACATCCTTTTTTCCCACTGGTTCATTAAAGTGTTTGACCAGCCCTAATTTGAGATCTGACTTTTATCTAACTTAGTGAGGTGAATGTAGCAGAAGAGGAGGTCCTTTTTCTGGGCTCAGTCACTTACTGTGGGACTAAGGGCAAGTCAGCTTTTCTATGCCTGATCCTGCTTCTGATCAAAATGAGGAATAGATGACCTTTACCATCACTGGGTATCTGTAAACCTGCTTGCTTTCACTTCTTTAGACAAAAGTTGCTTTTGGCATCCAGAGTGTTACTTAAAAATAAATTTTAGGAAGTCTGCTGTCATTGAAGATGCTAACCGAGGTAGCGCTAATGAAAGAAGGAGCAAACGCATATCGTGTGTGTTTCCAGGTGGAACTGGAGGTCCCACAGCTGTGCAGCTTTATCCTGAAGACAAGCCAGTGCACCCTGCGGGAGGTATTTGGTACGGATGCTGAGGGAAAGGCTATGCTGAAAAAGTCTAAGAACTCAGATGACTTTACCAGTGCTATGTCCCAGTAAGTAAAAATGCAGGCTATACCACAGTGTGACAATCTGTCCTGCCTTGAAAAAAAGGCTGGGGTCCATGGCTGTTCTGACCCAGCTTTTGAAGCAACTTGCGGGAGGCTAGTTGTAGCTCACTGGCTCACTTGGTCTCAATGCAGTTCAGGGCTAGTCAGGGACACACATAAGTCATGCTACAGGAAGATGGTATAACTGAGCTCTGCTGTCTCTGGGGTGCCTGGCCAGGTCCCTTTCTACGGTGGGTTATGGTGTAGGAATTAGCAGTCTCCACTGGTACATTTCTGATAATGGACAGGTCCCCTGCATGGAAAAAAATCTCAAACACTGTCTGCAGTTGGTACTGCTTACACGTCAAAAAATGGGCTCAGACTGCAGCCCAGTTGTATCTTTATAATCCTTCGCAACATAAATACCTACCTGCATTTGTAAAGTAATGCATATCCTGCCTCTGCTCCACCAGTCTCCAACACTTATTTGTCTCCTATGTCTACACTCACTTTGTCACATGTGTGGATCTGTCTGACTGGGTCTGAACTGGTTGGGGAAAAGAGGCAATCTTCTAGCCAACTACATGTAGAAGTGGGGGTGTGACTGATTTTGGTTTTGGCAATGTGCATTCAAA